GGTAACGCGTGGTAACGCGTTTCTTTATCAACAAAATACCATAATGAATAGAGTTACTAGGCGTTAACCCGTATGGTTATCCGAGATAACACATGGAAATGCATTGTTTTAGTAATAGAAAAGCCAAATAAACAATTAGTACATGGTAACGCGTATGGTAAGGCGTGGTAACGCGTAGTAATGTGTTCTGTTCGTAATAGAAAAGCCACATTATAAAACAATTAGTGCATGGTAACGCATGTGGCAATGCGTGGTAACACGTTGCTTTAGTAATTTATATTTCAAAAGCAATATCAAACATTAGTTCATGGTAACTGGAATAAATTAAAACTTTGACCCCACAAAGTAATCAAAAATTAATTAAAAAATGCTTATAGTTTCATCAACATTCAATTATCCATTAAGTTGAGTAACTAAAGTATTATTAATCCATGCGAAGTTATACGACATTATCTATGAACTATGCACGGTTAAAGTGCCTATAAACCCAAAATGGGTTTTTGATGATTCAGATAGAGCATAAAAAGTTACAATAGAAGTTCTAGATTAGATTTTGACTTAAACTTCTAGTTTCTGAGATACAACGGCTCAAAGTGCGAATTTTGAACAAAAAGTAGCGCACAAAGGAGACTGGGTCGGAGGAACACGTTGTATTTACACACCAGTAAATTAACAATTATTGTGTAAACAAGTAAAAAAGCATCGCTATATTTTTGTGAAAAACCTGAAATTTCGAGCTCAAATTCACACTCGAGTATCTTTAGCAATTCATCTGTTAGTATTCCGTGTGAAATTGAAGTTGAGCGCGTAGAAACCGAATATTTTGAAGCCAGTCATGGCGGCCATGTGGATGACAATTCAGACGAAGAAGAGGCTTACTTGGATGAACCGATTGCTGAAGCTTGGCTAGAAGAATATCATCGAAAGCGAGAGGAAGACAATGAAAGGATGAGAGATTTAGAGGTGTGTTTTAAAGGGAATAAACCTGTAACGTCATGGTAATATGTAGCAGCTAAACTTGCATGTCAATACAGACAATACTTATGCCAAATTTAATATGGCGGTTTTGTATTATAACTTGTTGGCATGTTTGGCTCCGAATATTTACATATTGTATATAAATATGTTTGAAAATTGTGCCATTTAGGTGCAGGTGTGGAAACTGCAACACGGAAATGCTTCTAAATGCTAAAGAATGCTATTGTTGCAGAGAAATCGTAAAATGTGTCGAAAGTGTTGAATATTTGGACTATCCTGGGTCAGTTGACAAAGAAGTGATTTGTGTAACAGATCACCCTGGTTTCCCAGCAGTGTGCTTAAACAGATGGTCGTTGGAGCTCGCGGCAGACACGTTTAAAACTTGTGATGGACATCGATATAGTCAACTTGGCACAAAGGAAAGGTACAGTAAATTTATTAAGGACATTTGTTTTTACAAGGCATCACGTATTCATGTTCAAGTTCAACCACTTGTTTGACAAATATTCTGACATGTAGAGATTTAAAGGCAAAAATATGGAGTTTGTCAAATTGAGGCTGCAATCTCTAATCGTGACCGGTGTTCCCCAAAATGCCCAAGCACTTTGGGGTATTGCTACCCTAGTTTTTCTGTTATCATTACTATACAAACAATAATTTGGGACATTGTTTGGGAAATTCTTCATCACAAGATATTGACATCATGCATTTTGATAAACTGATGTGATTGTGTTGTTTTAGATTATTAGTGATATTTAAAAAAATGTAATATTAATTTCAAATGCCCCACCCCTGAACAAAGGCCCTCCACTGGGACGTGCCAGAGAGGCAAATGCCCCGGGTGGGGGATGGGCATGCTTAGATTTGACTGATGCATTATGCAGCCACTTGTGTAGTAGAACATTATGATTGATTGATTGATAATAGTATTTATTCAGGAAAACCAACATCACAATTAGTTAACTAACCCATTAGCTGGCAATGCAACCTATTTTATTATTTACTCTGTTTATGCCAGATGATTTTACTCATCAGTGGTAGGGTACTGCTAGTAAATGGGTTAGCAAGCCTATCTGGCAATGTCTCTTGTTAACCCATTACCTGGCAATGCACTCAGATGCATCCAATGATTGATTGATTGATAATAGTATTTATTCAGGAAAACCAACATCACAATTAGTTAACTAACCCATTAGCTGGCAATGCAACCTATTTTATTATTTACTCTGTTTATGCCAGATGATTTTACTCATCAGTGGTAGGGTACTGCTAGTAAAGGGTTAAACACATTGCCCCACCAGATTTCTATTGATATAGTGTATAAAATTGAACCAAGAAAATTATTTTATTATATTGTAGATTTCTTCAAGGTGTTGCATGAGTTTACCCACATGATACACGGCAAATTAAAGGACAGACGTATACCACTGCCTGTTTGTGCATATACTGCAATACGTTTGACACATAATATCAAAACTGATGATGAATTTACAGGTTATGATTAATGATTATAGACCGGCAGCCCAGAGCACTTTGATCAAACGAACTAGGTACCAACATTTGGGTACAAGAGCATCTAATACGTGGTCCAGCATGTCTAGAAATGAATGTCTGCCGGTGACCACGTGCTGCGTGTGGCCATGTGACCCCTGCGAAGAAAGCGCTAAAATAGGCTAGATCAAACATTCGAGATACCAAATGAAACCAAAATAGAACGAACATTTGTGTCCTGCTTATTATTAAAGTCTATTGCCAGACATATTTTTTGCATTATAATCCCCGCCAGACGCCCCTGAAAGAATCACAAATATAACGCTGGATCAAACATGGGAAATACCACATGGAAAAAATTTTAAATGAACAACTATACTCTATTAAATATTAAAAATGAATTGCCAGACAAATCGTCTGCTGCACCACTCAAGCAAGACACCCATGATTCATGAAAGTACCTTGCCGGGAGCTTTAATGTAATTGAATGTTGGTAGAATCATCATGTAGGTGCATTATTTCTGCCGGACCATAATGGAACACAATGTGAACTACTGTAATATATACAGTACCTTCCAATTCCTATACGAAAGGCGACTATCAAAATGACTTTTTTGCTCTAAATCGCACACCATTGCTGTCAAATGAAATAATTTCTTAGACTTATTGTGCTAAACTTCAAATCCAGCTGCACCTTTAAAATTTACGCTAGTTTGCATGGCTTAAGGTTCGAATAATACACACTAGATTGTTAAATCCGGTATTATATCTAACTGCCAAAACAGTATTATCTGCATATTGTACACAAATCTAGCTTATAGTATATAATACTTACATGCAGCATGGCCGATTTTTATAGCTTTTTAGTCTGAATTCTCAGATCATGCAGGACTTGCCAACTGGAATAAAAACTGTACTTATATTTGACCTGATTGGTATCGTTAAAACCTAATTGCAAACCATACTGAAAAAACAAACTAGATAACTGCGTTTTTACACGCAGAGTAAAGGCTGCTTTCCAACTAAGCATTTTTTGCGTACAAACGCGGAAAAGTTTTCATCCAGTTGAAAGTTGTTTATCAACTAATTTTGTAAATGATTGAGAGGATACTATTTAATCTTATGTATAATCTGTTGTGTTTTTGTTGAATTTATATAAAATTTTGGAAGATTTAGATTTTTCCTTGCGTATACGCACGTATAAAAAACATTCAACTGGAACGCAACTTTGAAGGATAATGTTAATGAGAATTAGATTTAGAGTTCAATATCGCTTTCCGAGTCATCACTCCAAGCATTGTCAGAGTTTGAATTTGTTCCAATGTCCCTATCAAACACGTTTGCAAAATCTGAATCGTCACTCTCGCAATCTTCTGCACAATTTTCTTGTTCCTCTTCTTCCTGAAAAAGGTCTTCTGGCATTGGAAAACCCGAAAACCATTCAGGAACATAGCAACCATCCTTCATCTTCCATCCGAAATTCACAGGATCTAAATGTCCTCCTGGATGTGCAGAATCAGCATTTCCCCAAACCATGCTGATAAAGTGGGCTCGTTGCAATTTCTTTTCGACTGTTTTCGAACAAGGTGGAAGAAGTGCACAGTTAACCTTCTTTACATTCGACATCGGATTATCCTGAAAAAATGTACGCGATTTCCACCTAGTCAGTTTTCTCAAAATATACACCTATTTCTGAAAATCTACAGTTGTTTAAAGGCGGATTTCCATTTAGTGCTAAATGTTACGCGATCGACTTTTTACGATCGCTTTCTTTTGAAATACAAACAGTCAAGCGGAACAAATCTCATTAGCTGCAGTTGAGTGCACACATTTCAATTCAAAAGAAAGCGATCACAAAAAATCGATCGTGCGACATTTTTCACATTCGCCGTCAAGGGGGAATTTCGTCGTCTTCATAGAGATTCCCATAACCTAATGCATTAAATTATGCAGATATAACATCAAAATAGTTTTAACAACTTAATTATATCTTACCTTGTCCATTTTCCCAGACATCTGACAGATTTTTTCAAGTCTTGCCTCATTTACTTCCTTCATGTCACCTTTCATGCCGTACAGGGAACAAATAAACTCTTCTGCTCGGCTCTGGTCAGGTTGACGTTCAGAAGTCAGTCCACGGAAAAACTCGATGAAGTTTCTTTCTTTGTCTTTCTCGAGCACAGCTAGTGATTTTATCTTGCCTTTCTTGTAGAATGCTGTTGTGCAGTCAGATCCAGTGAAGTCATGCAAACCTGGCATAGCTCCAGCCAACCCAAATTGCTTAGTCTCCAAAACAGAGGCAATGCGGGTTACATCAATATCTCGACGTTTATTCCCATTTCCACAGTCCATAATAATGCGACCATATAAGACAGCTCTGTCATCGCTCAGGTGCTTTCCTATCATTCCTACGAGAATGACTAAAACATCCGTATCAGAGGCTCGGACCACTACATTTCCTATAGCGCTGGACACATGAAATGCCAGGAGAGTGTCTGCCTCTTCATGGCTGCCTTGTAGATTGGTTGGACGTTCAACATTCATCTTCGAATCTTGTTCATTGAACGTTATACGAACACAGTTGCCACCATGGGATACAATAAGGCTCTTGTTTGCTAGGATTACACCATAATGATCTTTCTGCCATTCATTGAGTAAGAACATCGCCAACTGATCTTTAAAGATCCCGTTTTGCAGTAATTTCTGGCAACTTTGTTTTGGTGCTTGTTGTGGACCAGCTATAAGGAATGCGTGATCATCGGCACCATGTAGGTTCCTCTCGCTCGTTTTAAGGGAATTTGCGCGATACGTATCAAACAATACATGGACCTCGTTTCCACGGCTTCCACATACGTATGCTAGAAGTGTCTTTGCGAGGTTTCCATAAGATGTAATCTTCCCAATAGCACATAGGAAAGAGTGTATTAATAGTCCACCATCGATTAAGGTTACGTCAATCACTGGGAGTGGTGTTTCAGAGAACCCATCCTGTAGTTCCTCTAGCTTATTAAGTAACTTGCTCTTGTCTGTTTTGAGTCCCGATCCATCTGAGTGTGCGATGGAGAGTGGATATTCCGTAATTGGAAATGTCATTACATGTCTAAGATTGAAATTCGTTTTCTTGGAAAGGATGACAAGTATGCGAATAAAAACATCTCTGAGACTCTCAGCAGCGGATTTTCCCTTGCCTGATGCACGCTTCTTCTTCAGATTTTCCTGTGCAAAATTGGACACCTTTCGTTTTTTGATGGGCTGCAGCATTCTTTCTTCATCTTCTGCACATTCTTTTCGGAACTTTACGTGCCGTTCGTGGCCAGAGACAATGCTCTTTGTTAAATACTCCTTGGTATCTTGAGATGCTGCTCTTCCGGTGGCGATGTTTAAGAGGCATACCGACGTTGTAACTGGTAATGAGAAGGGATCACACGAATTTGTGACTGTATTGTACAATGCATCCTTTTGGCGACTGTCTTTTTCAATCCTGTACGCCCGTAGCTGTGTCGCTGGCTGCTCCACTGCTTCTAGTCCTGTCATTTTCCGGAGCTCTGTTACAGACATTCCACGTTGCGCGGATGTGACACACCATCTTCTGATAGCATTGTGCGAGTGGTGAAACCCAACAATTCCTCTCATCGGTGAAGCTGCATCTCTATTGACAGTCTGTTCCAATGTTAAATCTATCGCAGATCGTGAGAAATTTTTCCCCGTGCGTCGGAGTGAAAAGGCACCAGCTTGAAGTACTGCCCGAATACTTGGGTCTGCCATCTCTAGTTTCTCAAGAAACAACACGCCCCAACGTGCGTAATTTGGTCGATTAAGTCCAAAAAAAATGTCAATTAAAGCTGGAAGTATGTTAATGTAGCCATCGACATCATTGGTACGCACAGCACGCATTAGATCCCTGTGGACTCTGTTTACCATATAGACATACATGGTCCAGTATTGGGCAGTTAGGCCAAGGTCTCCATTCATTGCTCTGGTAAAATATAGATCGTACTCATGCATATGTTCCTGAAAGATAGGACTGGTCTCGAGGCAGTGAATTTGCATACTCCTATCCTGTGGAACACTGGCGAAGAAGTCATCAAGGGCATCTTTACATTCAGGAGCGAGGGTTGAGAGGAAGCTTTCATACAATTTCCTTTCCATGACGAGTGCAAGAATATCATGAATTCGGGTACATCGATTGTAATACTTTCCGCGAATAAAACCCATCAGTGATCCTTCGGCAAGTATCCCAGATTCTGTCAGCAGATACTCCGCTCCACTCTCGTTTATAAACGTTCCAATGGCACCATAGAATGCCATCTCCAAATGGAAATTTCCAAGCATAATGAGGAGCTTATCGAACAAAGGTGCATCCAGCGCCTGGATCGAGTACGCCTTGAGAGCCACAGCCAGGTCATAAGTTACAACACCATACTCCTGACCAGTTTCATTGGCCACGCTCATACTCCTTTTCTTTGTTTCACGGACGACATCGTTTCTTGTAGGTGGGCCCGATATTGGATCCATGTACCAGATTCTTTGTTGAGGCAAGTGATCATGGATAAACTGTGAGCAAAATCCCGGAAAAAGTGGCAATTTCTTGTCTACTTGAGACTCTGTCAACCAATAGAAGTCAAGTAATTTGAGTTCTATAATGTTTTCTTCTTCTTCTTCTTCTTCTTCGTCTTCCTGACTTCCTTTTGGTTCTAAATGAAACCGGGATTTCTTAAGTTGCTTATAATATGGCTCAATTTCTCGTTCTTTCCCATCAAACTGGCGTCTTTTCCTTCCAATTCGGATACCAGAAACAGTAGAAGTGTTATCAGGTATAATTGTGCAGGCTTCATTTTCAATATTCTGGTAACATATCCCAACAGTAGCGTGGAGGGTATCTTTTCCATCAATAGTATCCATGTTGACATCATAATTATCCCAGGCAAGTCCCGTACCTCGAATAGGACTGAGGTCTAGGCCGTCAGGAGAATCTCGATTGTTTGCCTCGGTTTCTAAAGATTTTACTTCATCATAACTGACGGAGTGTCCCATTCGATTCAATATGCGAAGGACCAGTTTGGACCCAGTTAATGTCCCTAAACCCAGCCCAAGTAAAGTGTGTTTCCAAGGCTTCACTGTACCTCTTGATGCATTATACACTGCATCTGATGACATGCCAATGACCTTTCTGTTTATAGCTTCGCTGTTATCAACACCAGAGGGCTCACGAAGACCACAAAGGAGTGTTTTAAAAAACAGTAGTATTTCGTTTGGCAAGTCAGGTGAACACAACTTGAGTGTCTCTACAGATGTAGGCGTCGGTGTTACAGATTTGGACATCGCTTGTATTTTACCTCGAATGTGAAGAGCTGCAGTACGAATCACATGGAAACTCTTCTCATCATCGCCTTGAATACTTGATCGTGCCTCGGCATCAGACATCGTAGAACTGTAAACAAAATTTCCTTTCCGATGATCATACAATGATATAGAGATCTTCTCTCCAAACTTTTCCTTTACCTTTTTTGTCAATGCTTGGGCTGTGTAGCTTTCAATGTCGTCTGTTGTTCCACCAGCACTTATAAATTCTGACTTGTATAATTCAAGAATCGAGGTTGATAACATTGCTTTGTTGTTACCAATGACATCCTTCTCGATTAAAGCTGATAATGCGTCAAAGGTGTTGGAATGCAATTGCCTGGTTGAAACGTCTTTATTCTTCGGCGTAGCCCCTTCAACCTGTTTGAAAAATTGACGGCGACATGATTTGTGATACTGGGCTTCTTTGGCGATCAGATCAACCTCACTGTTTGCTAATGCTTTGATTCTCTCGTTGTTACTTCTCGGAGCTGCATCATATATGCTTTTACAACCATCTTTCGTAAGACAATCTGACAATGGTTCCACTTTCCGGTTGATGGTTTTACGCACTGTATTACAAAATATGCAGGAACCTTTCAATAAACCCTCGGTGTTTGACGAAGGCATGGAAGAGTTGCGCCGAGTTTGTAGCGTTTTTAAAATAGAATGACTTTTAGAATCTGTGGATGGCCTTTTCACAGCGGTGTAATTTCTGTAACATTTTGAGTGGTACTTTGCATTATTTATTTGCTGTTGCATGTTAACTTCTATAGTTACATCTCTGAAGCAATCAGTCTTAAGGGCAAGCCTGTACTCTGCCGCCCTTTTGAGTGTTCCCCATGTTTTCTCCACAAACATTTTTAATGACTCATCCTGACCGGCCTTGCAAATAATACATTCATGTCCAGTTTTATCGCTATCAATGTCAGTTGGATTTCTATTTTCTATTATAGTTACATCTGTTGCCTGTATATAAAAGAAAGCTACTATTTATTTGTTTAGCTCTTGTATCAATTTAGGAGTTAATTTTTATTTGAAATGTTAATGCCAAAATCACTAAAAAATATGCATACTTGATTGGGTTCTTCAAGATTTGCAATGTTGTGATGGCTCTCCTCATCATCTAATGTTGCATCTCTTGCCTTAAAAAAGTCAGTTCAATGGATAAATTATATTTCACTGTGATTAATATTAAACCGTAACCATAATACCATACAAAACCATACCTCGTAAAATGTTTCATGATTATTGAATTCTTGACAATCCATAAAGGCTATCTATTAGTAACATTAAAATGGAACTAAAAAAAACAAAAATGTTTTCTCAAATTTGGAAATACCATCATGCAGTTGGATAAAGCTGTTTTACAATAATACCTTGTTTACAAGTATTTAAACAGATGGACAGAAATAAATAAATAAATGTATGCTTGTATGTGCCTATTGCAGTGTTTGACAATTCAAGGTCATTAAGTACCACGCGAAAGTCAAATACAAAGAAAAAAATGTAATAGTAACAGTAATAATGCCACATATCAATTCAAGGGGAGACAATTTTTCTAATTATAAAGAATAAAGATTCTAAAACATGAAAAGATGTGTACAAAAAAAGTATTGAAAATAGTTTTAGTAATGATTGAGTTAAAATTAAATAAGGCTAATTCCGATAAATATGTTCCGTTCGATAATTTGCCTTTAGGTTAACACTAGTAACATACCTCACACCATTTTTGTAGACGTAGTTTTCAAGAAAGAATTGTTAGTCGTGAACTTGTGCATCAAACTTACATATTAAAAAAAGTTAATGAAAAAAGAACTTTAAAAAACTTTAGGCCACTAAAATATTTACAATACCATGTTACGATAGACATATCAACTAATAATGCAAAATAAATACTTGTTGTGACATGCTTTGGTAAGTGACTAGCTACTGATTATTTTAACTCAGAATATATCAACTTTTCGTCATTGGGCTCATCAGTGATGTCAATTTATAATTTCAAGGGTTTTCTGTTAAGAACAACATATAATTATGCCGTTTATAATAGTAAATGCTGATTAAAATTTCCTTTTTGCATTATTAGTGCACAATTTGAGTAGTAAAGTAACTATAAACTCACCTTTTCACTTGCCTTTTCTCTTTTTTCGTCCGAAAAAGAAGACATTTTGTTGTGTGAGCCCGCACACTTTGTGGTATGCTAAGATGCAACACATGCATTACTTCATTTTAGCTTACCAATTGTTTTCGCCTGCTAGGGTGTCTTGCTTGAGTGGTGCAGCAGACAATTTGTCTGGCAATTGATTTTTAATATTTAATAGAGGATAGTTGTTCATTTAAAACTGTTTCCATTTGGTATTTCCTATGTTTGATCCAGTGTTAAATTTGTGATTCTTTCAGGGGTGTCTGGCGGGGATTATAATGCAAAAAATATGTCTGGCAATAGACTTTAAGTAATAAGCAGGACACAAATGTTCGTTCTATTTTGGTTTCATTTGGTATCTCGAATGTTTGATCTAGCCTATTTTAGCGCTTTCTTCGCAGGGGTCACATGGCCACACGCAGCACGTGGTCACCGGCAGACATTCATTTCTAGACATGCTGGACCACGTATTAGATGCTCTTGTACCCAAATGTTGGTACCTAGTTCGTTTGATCAAAGTGCTCTGGGCTGCCGCTCTATTACTTGGAAACAGACGATGAAAGCTTATAAGTTTATTTGAATGTTAAATATTTATGTACAGTAAAATAATTGTTAGGCCTTGTTGTTCCGTGGACAATTAGTCACATTTTTGTGGCCTTTCATTGGCTGCTTGCATACACTGCACTTTGGTGGATTTCTTGGTTTGGACGCCTTTTTCTTGCTACTGACTGTAACAGCAGGGACTGAAATTATAAAATATTGTCAACATTAATTACAGTACTGGTTAGTTTTATTGTCTAATGTATCTATTAA